GATTATAGCTTTGCCTCCATTTCCAAAACCTATGAAACCAACACCAAGCAAATTGGGTTAGATAGATATAGATCTGCTAGGTAAATTGCAAGCACACAATATCTACAACTAATAAAGTGACGAGTGAATATCGTTTCCACGAGGGTTGTCTCTAATTATCCAATTACTTACCGAAGGTGATCAATCCAAGGAACTAGCTAACCAAGTCGAAAAGGCAAGTAAAAAGTGAACTAAACCAATTAAAGGACCGAAATTCAAAAGCGCCGAAGCTTAAAGGATTCAAAAGCTAATTAAAATTGCAAAGTAGACCTAATCCAAAGCAAAGCGAAAATTAACAAGGCAAATTATCAAGATATTAACCAAGATCACAAAGCGTTAGAGCATCCAACTTCACTTAACCACTCATAATCAATTTTTGTAACTTGTCATGCAACAAATTAATTCCAATTGTGTTGGTGAAATTTCCCTAAGTTAGATTACAAGCCGACCTCGGTCTAACAATCCCTAATTAGGTATGTTAACCCACATTAATCTTAGGTGAATTTAAACTACCTAAAAGCATTAAGTTCTTGTGGAAATTTCTAGATTTAATCTAAGTAGTCCCAACCTAGATCTGCTACTGCAACCACACAAACAACCTAGAGTACCTTGACCTAGATTTAATTTATGGTTCAATATCACTAGTGCACATGCATGCAATCTCCACCTGGTATCATGCATACATCGAAAATTATTTAAAAGTTGGCCAAACTTCTAAAAGCATTAAGATCATGATAGAGAACGACACAATCAGAACAACTATATTGCATGAGCAAGTCTTGATAATCAATCAATCATGGTTAAGACTCATTGTAGCTCTAACAAAAGAAATTTAGAACATAGTTAAAGTTAAACTAACAACAAAAATTAAAGAGAACACAATGCTAAATTAAAACAAATTCACCAAGTTGAGTCACAAAGAGGTTCAGGTTTGTCTCCTCCTTCTCTCCTTGACATGCGCCAACTACACTAACAAAATAGAAGAATAAAAGCTAACTAAGAAAACCTAAAATCTCCTTCAGAGGTGGCCGCTTCAATGCTCCTCCGGATACTGAAATATGCGGCACAAGAGCGGTTTATTTTGCCTCCAAAAATCTGCCCTAGGTCAGCCCCCATTAGGTCTTGAATAGAATTCCTCGCCAAATTAAGAATTTTCCTTCTTAAAATTCCTATTCTTGATTTTCTTTGAACCTAGCCTCAATTATGGTCAAATCCTCCAAATTTCTAGTCTTGATTGGCTTTTTCTTCGAGACAAAATATTCTGGAAGATACTAAGATATTCTGGAAGATGCTGAGACGCAGGGATTGATTTGCAATTCCAACACAGACACATGGGAAAATTACGCATATGGTCTTGGCGTGTTCTGCAAATAGTGTGCATGGTCTCTTAGCCTCTGAAAGTTATATTTCCCACGAAATTCAATAAAATTACATGAGTAGCAAATAAATTCACCCAAAATTCATCAAAATTTAGCAAATATCAAGCTTAAATTAATAAAAATGCTCTATCTAAAATAGAGTTATCAAGATCCCATTCTTGAGTTCCTCTATGTCGAAGCAATTTGGTCACATCATCCAAAAGTGGGTCACTGCCCACGAGAAAACCACCTGTAAACTTAAGATATATGCGACACCTTTATCTCTGAGTTAAGTTCACAGTGGTTCAGATTGAGATATACATTGATTCAACTCAGACTATTTCAATTCGACTCATAGATAGGGGGTAAGCCTTATTTGGACTTGGGTTCATTGGACAGGGTCCATTGCAGTCATACATTTTGTTGGGTCCACGTGAATCCCACTATATGAATAGTTGTGATGGATTTGGTCTACTAAATTACGATCCGCATAAAAAATTTCTCAAGGAATGAGTACATGAAAACGGTCATTTTGCTTTCAAACTTCATAGGATCAATTTGGGATGATTTGAGTTTTAACTTTTAATAATATTTTAATTATTGTGATTTCACAATTTGACCTTTATTTAACACGAAATGCTAAAACTTTTCAAATTATACGAATACCAATACATAAAATCACATACAATGTTTTGATAATTGCTCGTTATTTAGGATACATCTTTTTTAATTTTCAATATTTTGGAGGGAAAGTGAAAGTAAAAATTAGAAATTGAAAGAGGTTATTCCATACCTTATGAGTGAAATATTTTTAAGGAATATGTAACAATTTCACCGGAAGAGGAAATTACTATAGTAACGTCTCAATCTATGCCTACCTATTATAGTAGTCCTATGAAGAATATTGGGAGAATTGGAAAAAAATATTGTTACGTAAAATCAATCAATTCACAAAATAATGCGACAATCTTGATTAAATATCTAAATGATTTAAGTATTATAGAAAAAAGCTGTTTTGTCACGCCATAAGCTTTTAATATCAAAAAATTAGAACTGTTCGCGACCAGCTAATCGCGATAAATTGGTCGCCCAAGGTAGCCGACAGATCTTCTGGCGACCACGTTTTGAGTTTGGTTCCCAAAGGGTTGGTTTCCCGTGACCAAATGTATGGGTTGTCACTCTCCCGATGCACACGATCTGGCAAACTTCCGGCGATTGAGTCGATCGAATTTGCTCACCGGAGCTTGCTTTTAGCGACTAAATGTGGGGTTTTTGGTCACTATAGACCATATTTTCCAATAAATAATACGCCCACATCAATCTACAACACCTTAAGTAAAAAAAAGAGCACGTGCCTTGCCTCTGGATATGTCCGTCTTCTCCGATCACCACGCAGAAAAAAGAAGATTTTTTTTATTCTCAAAATTGGTGGAAGGAATCGAGGAGAGAAAGAAATTGAATTGGGCATGTCAATTGACTTTGTTCATGGGGATGCATTAAATTCTGCAGGTACTAACTGCAAGAGCAAAGTCAACCTTCATGTGGATCCACGAGCTAGAATATGCTTACACGACCGCTAAGCTAGCTCTCAACCACATGCCCCTTTGTATATTGTTTGGGGAAAGGTCGATCTCTCAGCTCGTTGTCAAAGGGAAAAATTACCGAAAAAATCTTAAATTTATTATAATTGTGTCAATTTAATCATAATTTCTTTTTATCAATTGAATCATAAACATTTTACATTTGTGTCAATTCAGTCCAATCGGGCAATTTTGGCCAAAAATTACTGATATGTACATTGGCCATCGTACGTGGCGTGATTTGCGCTAGGGGTGATCGGTTCCCGATCCGGTCTGATCCCACCTAAGAACTGAGAATCAAACTAGGAGAACTAATTTCTAGTTTATGGGATCGGGGACCGGAGACGATTGGGTCCGGTCCAATGAAACCGATCATTTGGCAATGAGCATCAGCTCGCAAAGTCGATCAAAGTCTCTGATCTACACAAATCTCCATCCAGAAACCCTGTCATTGTTCTTGGACAGAGAAGAAGGCAATGCGAAATTTAAGAGAGGCGCAGAAAGACAAAACCAGAAGCTAAAACATCGATCTACATCTTGGCGACAAAAATGAAGCATTCATATATTGGAAACGAGCGATCGAAATCTAAGAAAAAGCATAGATAATAGAAAGACGAGCGAGAAAAACTTACTAATTACAGGAAAGGGACGTCTTAGACTAAGAGTCGAGCGAGAATTGAGAGGGACGTTTGAGAGTTGAGTGAGAGCTGAGTCAAGGAAAGAGTAAAGAGTGAAAGTGCGAGGTGTGAGAGGTGAGAGGGAAAGAGTGAAGAGGATCGACATCGAGCGAGACGTGAGGCTAGAGGAAAAAGCGAGATTAGATTAGGGCTTTTGAAGTAATTAAAAAAATTAGTATATATAGTTAATCTAGTTCCCAACCTAGAACATGGAATCAAATCGACCGGACATTGGTTCCAAAAATAGGAATCGAGAACTAGACCGACACCCCTTGGAACCGCCCAAAATCGGCCGATTTCGTCTAGTTCGGGCGGTTCCCGATTCAGTCGATCTGTCTTGCTCACTCTTAGTTTGCGCTGACGCGGATAATTTTTAATAATATTTTTTTTGAGTTTTTTTTCTTTCCCTTCTCTTTCATTCTTTTTCATTCTCTTCTTCCTCTAGCCGGGGAAGTCGACCTTACTGGCCACTGGCAAGGGCAACCTGGCCAACCACTGGCGAGGCTCACCCTTGCCCAGCCTCACCGTCGCTGGGTGAGATCGTGCCTTGCCATGGCTAGGCGAGGCTCGACCTTTCTAGGGGTGAGCTAGCAAGGTCGAGCCTCGCCCTCGCTAGCCCTCACATCTGGTCAGTCGCTGACCGGCTAGAGGAAGAAGAAAAGAAAAAAAAAAGAGAGAAAAGAAAAAAGAAAAAAATATTATTAAAAATTGTCCACGTCAGCGCATGCCGTGTTATTTAAGACGGCTGGCGTCTATATCAGCGATTTTCGGCCAAAATCGACCGGATAAACTGAATTGACACAAATGCAAAAAGTTTATGACTCAATCAGCATAAAAAAATCCAGCCCATAGACATCTTCATTATTGTATCTTAGCGTAAATAAAGAAAACAAGTAGTTTTAACAAAGCTCGATGTTATTTAATTTCTCCTTCGTTCTACTTTCGCGGTCCGTAGATCCCAAGATTCAATTCAAGGCCCTCGTCGCATGGCAATAAAAAACTCCATGGTTAGATCTTGGGCACGCGTCGGATGATGTTTGGCACCCGTCCGGACAACTACTATCGATGCTTCCTTCGGAGTAACTCGATCTCTCTGTCGAGAGATAGCCGAGGTTGAGCTTCCCATTGTGCGTAGATAGCTCTCGAACTTAGCTTTGATTCGTGCGCAAATAAAGGAGGAAGCTCGCGAGTCCAACCTGGGAGCAATCAATGACGGATTACCAAAATATCAGAGGAAAATGGGAGTTCTCGCCGCAAGAGGTGCAAAGTCTCACTACGTGTGCATGTGGCTTGGATCAGATGCTAATGTATAATTCACACGACAGACCGACTATATCTACCATCTCCTCCGTTTGTGCACCAAACTCTCTTGCTTCTTCGGGCTTTCTTCTTCTTCTTCTTCTTCTTATTCTTGAAGCCTTTCTCTCTCTCTATCTCTCTAGATTTGTGGGGCCTCGCTGCCATTGCTGTGGTTAGAACCGAGCATGGGGAGATCAATGCTGGGGTTGTTGTTGGGTGTCTGTGTGATGTTGCCTTGTCTTGTTAGCGCAAGCTACTCAAATAGAAGGGCCTTCTATATCCAAGGCACGGTGTATTGCGACACTTGCCGTTTTGGCTTTGAGACCCCGGCTTCCCACCCCATTGCAGGTACTCTCTTTGTCTCTCTCTCTCTCTATAAGAAAAGGATCTTATGAATGTGTCGATAGTTGCGCGTGTCGCGCGATCCATGTGTTATCTTCGATTATGTATCGAATAAAGAGTTCTGATGAACGAGGCGTTGTTTGAACCGAGCCCTTTTCCAGGCGCGGCGGTGAGGATTGAATGCAAGGACAGCACCGGCACGTGGCTCGCCTACAGCGTCGACACAGTGACCGACTCGGACGGGAAATGGGAGGCCACCGTTGAGGACGACCACGACGACCAGAACTGCAATGCCGTCCTGCTGAGCAGCCCGGAAGCCGGGTGCCAGACAGTGGACCCAGGACGCGGCACAGCCACCCTGATCCTCACCCGCAGCAACGGAGCCATCGCCAGCAGGCACCACGCCAATTCCATGGGGTGCCTGAAGGACGAGCCGCTCGACGGGTGTGCCAACTTGCGTGCTTACTATCAGCTCGATTCCAACGAGTAGATCGTGTCGACAACTTTTCTGTTTTGCTCCTAAGTTTGCATGAATAGGCAGGGAGGACGATGGAAGAAGGAAGCAGAATAATCTTCTTGTTTGTTCTCTTTCTCAGTTTTAAGGTCATCTCGCTGTAACCACAATAAATAGCACGAATCTTAAATTTGTTACTGTTTGGAAACCACATGCGTCTTTTAACGAGCATCATATATTGTTAGTGGCTAAATGCACTCTACAAAGACTTGCTTGTCTAAACTCAGCTCAATGCTTTCCATCATCTGCAAATGTGAGCGGATTTTCCGAGTTCGTCTTGCAAGTAACTTATTCCCTGGGGTAATATAACCATGAGATAACAACACAAATAGTCCCTGAACTTTAGCCCAACGTGCAATATGATCTCTACATTTTTAATTTGTTCAATGTCAGCCATAAACTTTTGATACATGTTTAAATTGGTCTATGAACTATACAAAAATGTTGGATATTGTCCTTTCATTAATTCAAATTCAGGGATAACGTTGAATATTTTCATATAATCCAGATCAACTCTGAACATGTATTAAAAGTCTAGAAACCACATTGAACAAATTAAAAATTCAAAGATCCCATTACACATTGAACCAAAATTCAGGAATCATTTATGTCATTTTCCCAATAACTTTCCCTTCGGAGAAGCAAGTTTTCTACCTATTGATAAACTAGTAACATTTTCCTTGGAATCAGTAGTTTCTCCTTCGTTCTTATCACGAAACGAATCCGATCCCTACGTTTTTATCTATTGGGATGATGTTTAACCTTAAAACCCAAGATGGTTAATGCAATACAGACAATGGAGTCTATTGCAAAACAAGAATACATTGTCGCGCAGGTTTTCACAAATCAACTTCGATTAATGATATACATATTGACCGAAGCAGAACTCACGAGTGCTATAAAAATGAAAGTCCTCCTGGCAATACTAGTATTACATTGAAGTTGAAAGGTAGGGGCATATTAACTTCGCATCAAAGAATTTGGTGTGCCCAGGCGGTGACTTCTCGGTCCAACCACTTTATTTCTGTCCCGGCGTGGATCTGTATCACCATCGTCACTGTCCTTGCGCGATAAATTTGACAAGGTACAGGTGACATCCTTATTTTGGAATCAATGGCTGTTGTGTGAATCTGTGTTTTGGAATCGCCAGAGCAAACTAGAATCCGACATGCTGTGTGTACTGAGAGTAAGCTTCGGACTGCATAGCGATGGGTGCCCGCGTCACGTGATCCGGAAGGTCAAAGGCGTCTACAAGCTCTCCAGCAACATTTCTCACTTGGAAACTGAGATAGTCGGTGAGTTTGTGGATTGCCTGGAAGACAAGCCCATTCGTAAATCAGGTACATAATAGAACTGCTATGGTTTAAAAGACAGGCAATGCAAAGGAATTGCAACAATTCACAGTCAAATGTATTCTTCTGTACTTATAGAAAAGAATTACACACCTAGTCTTAACCACGTAGTAAAATTGTTTAATCATAAAAATCTAGGAAAAGAAGATATCCAGGAAAAGAAGACTTATTTCTGCCAAATGCTACACTCAAATATGAAAGGCTGTCTGTCTTTTCAAGAAATTCCACTTCGCACTGATTAATCACATAGATCTAACCAGGTAGGCAAGGGATGTAAGACTAAATTTTGACAACTCAATAATAGTCTGATATCACTAAAATCAAAGGAGTATCTATAGAGTACCTAGAATCATAACAATTCTTGCACTCTGATGCAGTTGCATTTTATAGAATTCAGAACGAAGAATCTCGTGTACTTCTCATACCTTAGCTTTGTTGGGTGCCACATAGTCGACGTTGCGGTAGGTTCCTATGTCATTCCAGATACGATCCAGGGCATATAGATCACATGCTAATTTGAGAACGGCTCGAGCGCTCGCATCAGGACATCTGGCTCAAAGAAGGCGTGCAATGAGAATCCATCAATTATGTGTTGGAATGCTCTCACAAAAAATGAAAAGTACCTCTCTACAGCTTTAATAAACTTTGCAAGAATGACAGATTCAATATGCGACTCTGCAAGTGTCAGAAGGTGATTTAAGCATCTGTTCCAAGCACCAAAACTTCCAAGGGTTTTAGTGTGTTTTTGGAGTCTCACGGCAACACTCTGAAGCAGTCGAGAAGTCCGATACTGCAAAAGAAAGAACAAAATAATTGGAAAAGATGTATCACGCAATGATGGACAGTTGTCAAACTGAAATGGAGCCACTCACTCTAAATGCATCCAACTGGAATTTAGGATCACGCAAATGCTCTTCGCTTTCCCATCTAGCAGTCACAGGGTTGGGCTGTGATAGGTAAGTGTTCATGGACTCCCTCAAGTAGTTCCATGTAACTGCAAGTGTCCCACCTTGAAACTTCTCCTTGTATTGCTTTAAAAGATCACCAGCCACCTGCATATAAATTTGAGAAATTCAGGCTATCAGCATTAGCTGTCTCACTGCCCTGTGCTAGTCGAGGCCTAAATGCATTGGAGCCCAGAGATTATTCAACCAGAGCGTATATTTTTACCTCTCACAGTTAGTGGTAAAAATGACACCAAATATGCATCATTCTTGATTATCATTTCAAGTACAACGCTAGGACACATACTTGCATCAAAATGGGAGAGACCACAAATTCAGCGTAGGACCAAAATCGAAAAGGCCAACTGGATTAAAATGTACAAGCAACCATGAAGTCCTTTGCATATATCTCTATGACAATGTTATATTATCTACTTTTCCACTTATATAAGATGACTGCACATTTAGCAATTGAAAGAATTTCACTTAATTATCCCTGTTAATATGTAGCAGAAAGAAAGAATGTCTGGTGAGATCATCTGCAGCTACATTACGGTAAAGAAACTTTGATGTGGCTGATTTCCACCACAATGATAATTTGCTTAAAATATCAAAGAAACAAAAAGAGACCGACATGACAGAGATTTTGCAACCAATTTAGGGCATAAGGAGGACAACTTCCCAAAGTAGTCATACAGCCTGTCTATATAGTGCATCCATTCCCCTCTGTAAAACTGTATCATTTATAATTATTTCATTAAAAAAATCCAACGATGTTGAAATTACCTGCTGCAGAAGCACTGTGTTGTCCCCTTCAAATGTCTGAAAAATATCATGATCGTTCCTCAAGCTACCAAATCTATTGACAGCTGCATAACCATGTCCTCCACATGCCTCCCGACAGATGCTTAATGATTTTGCTGTATAAGACGTCACATAAGCCTTGAGACCTGCCGAAAGTGCATGAACATCTCCAACCAATTGATCGTCATGAGACTTCTTCATCTCTGAGTACTTCTCCACCAAATACAGAGTCGCGAAATGAAATGCATAAGTTGAAGCCAGCATGGGCATAAGCTTGTGTTGTTGAGATTGGTAATCCAGAATACTAACTTCAGGCTTCTTGGGAGGACCAAATTGCTGGCGAAGTAAAGAATATCTCGTGGCAATTGTGACGGCAATTTTTAGGACTCCAACCGAAGAATACGCCAAGCCAACCCTTCCACCCACGAGTTCGCCAAGGGTAGCGGCAAATCTTTTATTGATAGTTGGGAGGCTGCTTGTGTATTTCCCATCCCGAGACACATCTCCAAACCTATTGAGGAGATTTTCTCGAGGAATTCTTACAGAGCGGAACCTTAGTGCTCCATTATCTACCCCATTCAGGCCAACCTTATGCCCACAATCATGTATTTCAATTCCAGGAAGTGTTTTGTGCGTTTTCATATCCCTTATTGGGACAATAAAGGCATGGACTCCCATATCCGCAAGTCCTCTTGCCTCATGAGTTGGCAGCAATAGCTTGGCAAAAACAGTTGCCAACTTGCCATGGACTGCAGCGTTGCCAATCCACCATTTAATGGCCCCATCATTTGGTGTGTCTATAACAAACTGATCTGTGATTGGGTCAAATGTTGCAGTAGTTTGAAGACCTTGAACATTTGAGCCTTACAGAAGAAAGCCAAAAGCCATTTAGTGACGAGAAGATAAGTAAGTTTACTGGTATGTTTATGCTAACTAAACAAAAGCCTTAGGTAGAAAATGCACTGGAGAATGTCTAGTTGTTAAATGCCAAGTAAGAGAACTGCGAGATATTTCTGCAACGCACATACCAGTGCTGACTGTCACTTTATTAGTGATCTTATAAAACTTTCATTTTCAGTAAAATGGCACTGCAAGATTTTTTTGCTGTATCTCAATGAAATATAGGAACTTATGTAGTTCTTATGCCAAAAGATAAATTTAAATCTGCACAGCAATTACCACCGGCCTTCAGCCTGATGGCAAGGCAGACAGGGGAGACAGGTGCAAGAACTACGAAGTTGAATAATCGAGCAAAAAAGGGAAAAAACCAATTCACAGGAATTAGCTTATAAAAAATTAGAAAGCAACCTGACAAGAAACAAATTATCAGAAACCTTACCATGATGAAGTTCAGTCATTGCAAAACAGCCTGGATATTCCACGCTATCGATCTGGTCAAAGTACTTATCCCTATGTCTTTTAGTTCCTAAGTTGATCACTGAGCCTCCCCAAAGACTGCATAAAATTAGTTCAAGTTTGTATATGAGTTTTTCTTTATCTATAAAAAAAGAAAAAAAAGTACAACTGACGAGTTTTTCTCACAAACACTTGCATACTTCAATTCCCAAGGAACCACGAACATAAACAAACCTCATACAACTCCAAGAGAAACCACATCGAACGGTATCAACCTTTGGTATTATAATCTTCTTCCTTTTTCTATTTTCAATAATGTCAGAAGCATATATCTCCTGCTTTGAATAAGAAAGATTAATTATTTATAGGATTTCATCAATAATGCCGCCAGACAGATGAATGCTAATCACAGATATAAACCACAAAAAGCTTTCTTCAGAAATTATCTTTAAACACATTTGTATATTGGGAGGTTCACTGCTCATGCTTGTGGTCAAACAAACCTCCCAGAGGTACCTTATGTCTTGTGGCTTCAAGTTAGACAACCAAAGGCCACATAAAATGGGCAAGATACACTACAGTATTTAATGTAAGGATATGCTCTTCACCAGCCACTTTCAATGATCACTCCTCTTGAATCTAGGCCACTTCAAGAAGATAAATATGCACCTCTTTCCAATACTCAAGAATTTTCCTAGGGGCACAGACAACAGTGCCTTATTTCCAATAGAAAGAAGGAGAAACCACAATAAACACCAAATTCGAGGATGTTTCTTTCCGCAAGTCAGAGTTCTTCGTTATGTCCATGTCATCCAAACGACAATCCTTGGAAAAGCATTTTGCCTCAGTATAATTCACAGGAATGCCAGAAGAAAGAAAAGTGATGTACACAGTGCAATTGCAAATGGCATCAGAATGCTGCATTTACCTAGCTCTGTAGTTTCCCTGTCCCCTCTTACTTCAACTACAATTTCTTTCGTTTTTTCTTTTCCTTTTCCTTGTTATATCTACATGCTCAGCGGGAAAGAATGCGTGGAAATGTATGTAGCCAAACAAACACTTTTTGTAAGCAATAACCATTTTTCATTCCTTTTCTTTTGGGTCAGTACCTTTCTCATCCTTCTGAAGATAGAATTTAACGAGTTATTAGGCAGATCACCTAGAAAGTCTTTCATTTGATGCATGATGCACAATGATACTGCTGTTCTGCGGCATGTTTGCATTTGCATTGAATTCTTCACAACTATGATCATGAGATTACTCGAATTGGTATGACATCGTGTCAACACACCACTCAACATGTGCATTACATAGAATGCTAGACTTCCTCGATCATACAATACCTAATTCAACTGAGGACTTACCGATGCTGCAACCGATTCTTCCAGCCATCCACTGGCATAGGTCCCATGCTAGTGGACGGTCCTCATGCAATCAATGCATAATGTGAAATGAATCTATCTAAACCCAGGAAGGTCGGTGACTCAAGTTAATTAGACACCGGACAACCAATGAAATCAAGGTGTTGGGAAGAGTAGCGACAAAAAAGTCAACTTTCTTGCTGCGCATCATACACAACGAATTCAGCTCTAATTGTAGTCGAAATCACTTCCAATCGAACCTCCACGATATTCCGAGATCAAACCGAACAAAACCATGCCAGAACGAGCTACAGCATCTCTAACAACTCCCAGCCAACATCAGAACGACTCGAAAACACAAACAGCCCAACTAAACAGCCAGCCGGAATTCAAAGTCTGAAGTCGAAAAGCGAAAAACGAGTTCCACGAGATCGCACCTGTACTGCACGCCCATCTTGATCCCGAGCGACATGTCGACGCTACCGACGGCCTCCACGATCGCGAAATACTTCTCCGGATCCTCGGAAACGAACCGGAACGGCCGAATCCCGGCCTCCCTGACCAGGCCGAGCAGCTGCCTCATGCAGAGCTCCCGGTGCTCGTCCATGGAGATCTCCACCGGCGTCTGGAGGTCGGGCCTCGAATTGAAGTACTCGTACACCTGCTCCTGGATCCCCCGGTGCTTCCCCCTCATGTAGCCGGACAACTTCTCGGTGTCGAAATCGAGCTTCTTCGCCCTAGCGCACGTCAGCATCTCGAGCCGGCCATCGGCGCGGCCAGGAGGAGGAGGCGGCGCGGCCGGCGTCAGGTGGGAGCGCAGCCGCCGGAGCCGCCTCGCCGTCGACAGAGCCTCGTGCTCCGGCGCGGCTTCGACGGAGCTCGACGGCGACGGCGACGGCGACCGCGACATCGCAGAGAGAGAGAGATGAGGCAAATGGGAGTATGGAGGCGTTGAAGATGGAGATGAAGATGGAAGTGTGCCGGCGCTGGGGGAATTGGACGCCTTCTCAAGTCGTCGGTTTTGTTTTGCAGCTGCACGGCACCGGAGATGACGTGGACCGGTGCAGATCGACACGTGTCGGTAGGGGATTGGGTGACGGAGTTGGCAGTTAAGTTTTTTTTTTTGGGCGCGCCTCCCAACGTGAGTTGATGATATTTGACCGGTCAGCACCGGTCGGGGTTTGGAATCCTGGATTGGAACGGTGAGCCTCAATATTGGCGCCTTGGCGGTTCCTTTTTCCTTCTTCTTTTATTATTATTATTATTATTATTGCCGTAAAAGATAATCCATTTGTCCCCTAAAAATTTAACGTTTTCGGTAATTTTTTTTTGAAGAAGTCATTTCCAATTAATGGTAATATTTCTCAATACTTAACCGATATCCGAAAATGAACCGAAGAAAGAAAAAAATCGATTCGTTCGGCGATATTTCTTAAAGGTCAATCACTCGTATCTCAAGCGTGGGTATTGAGGACTTCAGGCTCAGACGCCGGTGATTTGAGTATGGGAGCCAGGTACCCGAGCAGGAGCGCCGAGGCCTTGAGCCCAACCTCGATAGACTCGGGGCCCCCGGCTCCCGTGGATTCAAGGCCCGGCCGTCGAGGAACCAGGACCCAGCACTGGTGCGACTCGATGCACGGGGACCTAGGTACCCGAACCGTGATCGCCGGGGCCCGACCGCGAGAGACCCCGAGCTCGGCCCCCGTGGGACACGAGCCCCACGGGCTTGGACGAGCGCCGTCAAAGAACGGCTAAATGATGGATGGTGTGGACCCGCGCGCTTCGATTTTGCAATCCGGGGAACCCGGGAATTCAAAAAATGGAAGAGGCGCGGGGTCAGGTCAGGTCCCCGGGGGGGGGGGGGGGGGGGCCCCGGTTTTCAGCCACCTGTCAATGGAATCTCTCCCCAGTCGCCATCCTCCTCTTCCCGCCTCCCTCCTCCTCCTCCTCATTCCAAAAAACCAATCTCCGCGACCGAAACCCTAATCCGCCATCTTCGCTGCCTTCCTTCAATCGTCGACGACGGTGGTGATGGCGGACGAGCGCCCCTGACCCCCCTCACTCGAATCTCATCTCATCTCATCTCATCTCTCTCGATCTCCCCCATTTCTTCTCCTTGCCCCTGGAAATTTGGAATTTTTTTTTTGTCATTTTTTTGGGGGGTTTTTCCCCTTGCGCTCGCTGTTCTGAGATTTCTCGCTGCAGGGAGGCGGAGGGATGCGGTTATCAACTCCGAGCGAATCTGTTCTGCGAAGTCGGTAAAGTCCGTCGTTTGTTTTTCGGTTTCGGGGGTCGGTTTGGGGGGGCCGAATGGGCTTCTTTGGTTTCTGGAGCGTGGGAGCTGCGGGCGCTGTTTGCTGATACGGATCCGGGCTTGCTTCCTCGAGCCGGGTTTTCCCCGCGCGATGAGCGGGGACAATTTCTCCGGCGGGTTCCGCGAGGGGGGCCGCCGCCCCGCCCTCGGCGACGTCACCAATCGGCCCGCGAAGAGGGGGTTCTCGCTCGTCTTCGACGATCCGGGAGCGAAGTCTCGAGACGGGCGGGGTACATGTAGAGTAGTAGACGGGGGAGGAGGGGATGCGGCGTTCGCGAAGCGGGTGCGTTTGGGAGTTGAGAATTCGGTGAAGGAGAAATGCACTACGGGACACGAAGCGGACGACCTTAAGAAGGGTACTTCTGTTCCTTCGTCCAAGGACAAGAAGGCTCGTGGTTCGTCCCCTGTGCGTGACAAGTTCAGTAGTGCCGGCGATAATTCGTTTTCTGCTGCTGTTCATAACCTGCCGAGTAGATCCCAGGAAACATTAAATGCTTCGCACAGCGGTCCTATGGTTTCGGGGATTGAAATGAACGCACGAGATGTATTGGAAGTGGGCGATGTATCAAGGGATAGTTGTATGTCGATTGTTTCGAGTATGAGCAGTCAAGCCGGTGGGAAAAGCTCTGACGGGCTCAAGGTGCGCGACGAGCGTGCAGATATTGTAGAGGAAGTTGACGCCAATCCAATTAGAGAAAGCACCGCACAAGGTCCCGTTACTCAGGCTCTTAGCAATTTAGACGAGGGCCTCAGAATCGGGAAATTAGCATCAAACCGATCTGGCTCTATTGAGTGGTCGAGGTTGCCTAACTCACAGGGTCTCAAAAACTTCGAATTGATAAGATGCCAAGCTTCGGAGGGAAATGGCAGCGACAATTTGTGTGCCGAGGAGGACCTGCTCAAAAGTTGTTCTTGTTCTTTTTGTTTGAAAGGTACACTTCACAGTTCTCGACACTTTCTAATTCGTTTAGTTCTTCTGATCCAACGGCTTTAATTCATAAAAGATTTAACTTGCAATAGATATCTTCGTTGTTTCTGTTATCAGCTGCTCATATGTGGTCAGACCTTCACTACCAAGACATCAAGGGTCGAATAGCTGGTAAGTTATGTCCTTTGTCTCGGTCACCTTCCATCTCTTGCTGGTTCATTTTTTTTTTTAATGGATAGCAGGGAAATGGTGCTTATATTAGTCTCCTTCAATATACTTGTTGATAACTTGATAGATAAAATTGACAAAAGCCATGTTATCCATCCTTCAGCAGTGGGCAAGAGTCGAAAAGAAGCTAGCACTTTGGTTCAGAAAACTGGTACGGCAAAGGATGTTAATCATGTCCCAGGAAACTCAAATAAGTCTCCAAATCTGGAGTATGCTCTCATGAATCAATGGAGGTCGCTCTTTCTGCACATGGAGGACGTACTAGTCCATGAAGGCCGCGAACTCGTGAGTATCTGTTTCCTGTATCTCAGTTTTCAACCTTTTTCTTCTTTTAAGGGGATGGTTCCATTTGCTTTTACGAGATTGTGCACAAGGTTTATTTTCTTTGGTAATTTGTAGTCTTCTAATTTTTATTTAACATAGCTTCTGAATACATTGCGTTGTCGGGCCAAGTGTTTTTTCCCTTCTCCTCCATACGATAGGGTCATGAGCGCCATTTTCTCATTGATATTAAGAGGTAACTTGAATTTCTGCTTTGCAGCAAAGTAGTTATTGTGAGCTCAGGGATATGAGAGAAAAATGCAAGATGGATCTGGAGTTGACGAACAATATGCCTTCAAATAGAAACTAGAGTTGCATCGGTTTCGCTGTTGGAATCTTTTGTACTCAAGACTACTTCCAAGCTTGTGAAGGTGAAATTACATGCATTCCTTTTTGCATATACTTGCTCGCGCGACACCGCCTTCTGTGCAATCCAATGTTGTAGTCCATGGATCTTTCCCTTCCCGTTCCTTTCATGAGGTGCCTGGAATCTCTTTGCTAGTTTTCTCATTCAGGGTTTTACTTGGCTGTGATTTTTTCGTCCTGCTTGTTGCCAGTACAAGTCAGAAGATTGTATTGCTTGAGAAAATGTATTGTTTTTCCTTACTAGTCAATGAATCAAGCCCCTGATTTGAAAATAAAGAGCTGTCGAGCGTATAAAATTGCGGCGATATGGTTTACATAGACAGCTTCGGCAAATTTTAATTGTTTCCGAGACTGATGTTTTGTTCGAGTATTGGTCGAGGAAACTTTTAAGTACTGATTTGATTGAAATTAACTGCTCGTAAGTCGTGAGTACGGTTCGTTATGCTTAAAAATTCCAAATTTCTGTATCCTTGGATACAGCATTCTTGCTTCATGTAACATCCATTTGAGACTATCATGCTAAATCAGACTGAGATGGAACATCAGTAACAGAGGTGACGAGAACTTGTTGCAAGCTTTTAATATCATGAGATATGAGTTTTAAGAGACGAGAGAATAGAAGAGTCTAATAAGATTGGGTAATAATGCTTCGTTCCATTTCCTATTTTCAACACAAATGAGTGCACTTTTGATCTGAAATAAAGTATCATTTCAACTAAAAAGCAAAACCAAGTAAGTAGAACCTGGTTCGGGCATGTCTAATTGCAACTTGTGTAGCATCAATCAGCGTCACCACGTTGTCTGTTGAGTTGCGATCGGGCTTCTGATAGCACACGGCTCACCTCTTCATCATCGGGTGTCTCTCTATTCAAAACCTCGTAGTCTCTTATCGAAGCCTCCCAATTTCCTAGCTGTATAAGTCCCACAGAGTTGATAAAAAGTAATGAGCAACATCACCATACAGAAAGCCTCTCGTTAAACTTTTGCAAACCTAGAGGCTCGACAAAAATAAAACTTTGTTTGAAGGTGATAAATTGAGCAAAGTGTTGTTTGCATCTTGTTCCGAGTACTTCGATTTACCAAAATGATTCAAAACTTGTTTAGAGTGGGATGGTTTACCTTCGCATGGCAATCGGCTCTTCTGAGTCTTGCTTTGCTGTAAGATGGTCGTACGTTGAGAGCAGCTGTACAATCCTCAATCGCTTTCTCGAGCTGGCCTAGCTTGGACCAGCAAGCAGCTCGATTGCACAATAAGACCGAGTTGTAAGCGTCATGCTCAAGTCCCCCTGCATATGCTGAACAAGCCTCCATGAACCTCGAGGCCTTGAACAGCTCGTTGCCCCTTGATCGAGCTGCGGCTACCGCTCGAGCCCTCATCATCACCATGTTCGCCTCCTTGTTGTTTGAATCAAGTCGAACCGCACGTTGAGCTGCCTCCAAGGCATCATCGAATCTGCTGATCACTACAAGAGCTATAAAAAAAACAATGGCTAGCTTCCCTCCAAAAGTTTTAAATTCTGGTGATAAAGGAAACCGACCTGCCTGCGGCCATGTCAACCTGAGCTCTGATCATCAACAAATGTGAGCTGCCGATGGGCCCAAGGAATTTCGTGCAAGCATCGACTTCGAAGTTTGGACCGTTGATCAACACTTCGTCTGCCTCCTGATGCCGGTTCAGCTTCAAGAACGCCTCCGCTTGCAATGCGAAGATCTTTTCAACAACCACAAACAAGTTGGGTCAAAATATACCCTGAGGCTAAAGACACGGGGGTTTCTACCCTAACTAGCTTTTGATTTGTATGGCCGTTAATGCTGACCTGCGGAGCCGAATCGGCACCGGCAGATATGGCTCGCCCGCTTTCTTTGATCAAGTTGTTCCAGTCTCGTAGCTTCTGAGCCTCTGTGCATTTGTTTAGATGGGTTTGAACAACTCTTGCTTTGGCAATGACCTCAGGATCGGCTTCAGGTCCCGCGTGTTTGTAGTGATACATTGCCTTTTCTGCCTCTCCTAGCCTTTACGTTCACATAACACAACAGAGTCCACTTCAGTGATTGTTAGCCAAAGTTAAAAATTACAACTTACAGGAACTATCAGAAACATAAAACACACGATGATAGAATGGAAAGAATTCGGGAATATTTTGGCAGAACAACGGAAAATGCCTGCGATTTTTCACCTGAGATATAGCGTCGCCGCACGATTGTGAGCTCTATGATAATGAGGCTCGATTCGAATGGCTTCTCTACACTCGATGATGGCTTCAAGAAGCCTCCCCAATGCGGTCAAAGCCGCACTCTTGTTGCTCCTGTATGAAGCCTTATCCGGATCGATTGAGATCGCTGCATCATACAGAGCCAATGCTTCTGCAAATCTCCCGTTCTTGTAATCTTCGTTGCCCAGGATTTTCAGCGTCTCAGGGTCCATTCTCGTCGAAAGCGCACGGCACAAGGAAGATGGTGGTGCTTTGCTAGAGGTTTTTGCCGGCAAAGGTCTTCCAGTGGGCACCGAGGCTTCCTCTCTAGCAGTAGGTCTAGGAAGACAGTTGAACATGTTATCATTTGGGCTAGCATTACTTGTTCCAGGTTGCCTCAAATTGCCCAGATTGCCAAAGAGCATGACATTGCTCGACGAGGCCCGGACAAGACCGCTACTTCCTCTTGATTTCTGGTGATCAGCTATCATGCTCTCCAGCTCGCCAGATATCCCGATCGCTTCTTTGGGGACTCTCCTGCCTTGGTTTACATGACCTTGGTTGGGCGGCACGTTCGCGGCGGGCCCGCCCGGAACTCTATTTCCAGGGTGGATTTGACTTTGAGGACACATTCCATGGGTCTTAGGGGAAGGTCTCGAGATGGGTCTCGGATGCCCTTCCGATCCATTGTTACACGAGTCGAGGAATGCGGCCTCGTCAGAGCTGCCTCGCCGCCTTTGAGAATTGGGAGTGCTGGGGGTCTTGACACTGTTGTTGCTGCTGCTATTCGGCGTGGGGATGGACCCGGTCGACGTGCTCCTCCTGAGCCAAAACGTGCTTCGCCCAAAGACCACATTAAGCAAGCTGCAGCCCGATCTTTTCTCTGGAGACGCATCTACCATTCTTGTGTCGATCAAGAAACTTTGCTCTCTCCAGCTTTTTCGGAAAAATTAGAGCATATTGAACCCAGGATCATATGAAAGCGCCAAAATTACAACAAGAACTCGAAATGCGCACGAAAATTCACATCTTTATATGTTTAAAAGAACTTAATCTTAGATCCTGTAAAACTTCTGCAAGAGATTTGATTCGTATGAAACCATGTATCACAGAAAGTAAAATCTACACTGCCCAAAGAACCAACAAAACAAGAGGACCGAAAGTTCATAAAAACTGCTGTTGTGACATGTGCAAATCCTCCTCAAATGGCTAGTTGAAGACCAATGTACAAGTCCTTTGTTCTTTTATCTGTTTTTCGAAAAGCACCACGGGAGCTGGAATCTCAATGCTTGATCTGGAGGAAATTGCAGCAAAAGAGAGAGACGTTCAAGAGGCTGCCTTTTGTCACGATCGTAGCTTGGCTTCGCTGGTTCCTGCTGTTGTTTTGCTTCTTCTCTTTCTTTCTTCTGGTTGACATGTGAGGTGGAAAACGGGGGGACCAATTGACTCGGTCTTGCATGCAACGAGGATCTCTGCAATTCTTTTGGCAAAAACGATGGACGTAATTAGATACTTACAATCCTATTTTTTAGGGTCGGAGAGGGAGAGGATCTGTGGCGAGTTTGCTGCAGGGGTGATATTGAGATGATTTTTGTCATACTCGGGTCGAATTAAGGAAAAAACAATAAAGGAAAAATGACACAAATAGTCACTGAACTTTGACTCAATGTGCAACGTGATTCATGAACTTTTAATTTGCTCAGTATGGTCCATGAACTTTTAATTCGCTCAATGTAGTCTCTGAATTTATGGTACATGTTCAATTTAACTCATAAACTACATGAAAATGTTCAATAATATCTCTGATCTTAAATCAATGAAAGAACAATATTGACTCTTTTCATATAGTCCATGAACTATATTGAACATACACCAAAAGCCCATGGACCACATTGAACAAATCAAAAGTTCATGGGCCACATTGCACATTGGATGAAAATTCATGGACCGTTTGTGTAATTATCCCAACAATAAAGTAGGGGGCAGAGTGAGACAAATCCAAATTTAAAGGGACAAATGGCAATTGAGCCTAAATTCAGTTATGGAGCTTCTGTGATACCTTTTATCAGGTGCCCTATATGACACTCTCTTATCCTTGAAGCACAATGAACCAAAGATCTGCCGAACAATTTCATTGCTGTTGTCATTGTAGCATAGCACAACAGGCTTCCAAAACATATAACAATGATAAACGGGCCATCTTATAATTAGTTTTTCATAAATGTGCCTCGAAAATGTGCTCCGATTGATTAGGGATTAGGGATGTCAATATGTTGCGCCTAGGGATTAGGGATGTCAGTATGTTGCGCTTTCTCAGCTTAGCACTATCAATTTCTCGTCGCGGGTTTTCATCTCCTGATCTGGGGTTGTCTGCGATCTTTCCATCTAATGACTTTCCGACTTATTCATTATCATGAAACAAGTGGTGTATTCTCATCAATTTGATAGACACCGACATGGCGTTGCTGTAGCTGTGCCGACACGCACCTCTAACGCCACCCGGTTTCAATGCTCAGGGAGCCGATTCGGCAATGAGGTCGACTAGGGGGCGACAAGTGACTCCCGAAAGACTTTCTACAGTCCCCACAGTGAATATCAAGACTTACGGAAAGCAATTGCAACCTTTTCTTTTGGAGATAATAAAAATGCAAAGTTCCTTTGACTTTGTGATGAATTGCAGTTTTGGTCACTCGAGTGATTCATCAATGTGAAATTGAGCAAAGAGATTAATGTCCAGCCTTCAATTTACCCAATTCCAGATACAAAACTTCCAAAGAAAAATGGGATAAATCATCAAGGACAAGGAGAGAGAGACCGATGTAACTAGAGAAAGCTAATGAACATTCCCAAGCAAAGGATTAATCTAAACCCTGATAAGAAAACAAACATCGCCATTTCACATGATCTTTTGTCAACGAGGCGCAAATTAACTCGTTTGATTCAGTTTATGAACCATATTTCCCAGGGATACAAGGCCTCGGGAGATCGGTCCGAGATATGAAAATTGCTTCAAGGTGCGAAACAATCAGCAACAGAGTTTCTTGGGTTTCTCTGTATTTCGGTGGCTATTGCTTCCGACAGTTCTTCAGCACCGTACTCCACTCCGAAGCAGCGCGCCACCTCCATCTTCGGATTCAGCAAGTACCTGTTGAAGTTTTTGGGCGTCATGACACATTATCAACAGATTAAAACAGAGCTTCACACACAAGTACACAGAGTGTATAGAAAAGGAACTGGCCAGTGTACCCGATCCTTTGTTTCCTTGAGATGCGAACTACCCAACCAAAAAACCCAGTCGGATATCAACCTCAACTGAACTGAAAAGGCCAGTCCAATCCCTCTCTAGTTTTATATTTGCATTTCATTGAAAGTTCAACTCTCTGGATTATGTATACCAATTAAACACAATATGACTAAGAGTAAATATTTGTCAATAATGCCACATTTATTACAAAACCCCTCACTATCTATGCACTTCACGCCATTTTAGTTTACCAGGGCAATCAAGGCCAGAGTCATGGAACTACATGAATTTAAACCGCGAGAGAGAAACTTATAGGTCAAAAGGGCTTACATGTCGTGAGAGGTCTCTACAAGATAATCATCCCCGTCCTCTTCGACCTTCCTGAAGTAAACTCGGTATTCCTGCGCCATCTGCCTAACAGCAGCGACAGGTCCTGTAAGTCCAGTTATTCTCGAATGGAACTCTGCGGTCCTTTAAAGAATTGCAGACACTTAGCAGCAAATCATGTTTGGAAACAAAGTAATGGTAAAATTAGGGCAACCCTGACCTTTAAGATAAGCACGGAGATGAGAAGGTGTATCCCTCTGAGGATCAATCGTGACAAAGACTGGTAAAATCTCTGCATTCTGTTTTGACTCTTGCTTGTAGCAGTATACAAAATGTCAGTGACACCCTCAATAAGATAATTGATGTCACAAATATGTTGGTACAAGAGCCAAACCTAATGTGTCAATAGCCTTCGCCATTGTGTTGAGTTGTTCGGGACCAACATCAGGTGATGATGTATACCCGAAATAGAGGAGTACCCATTCTCCTTTGATGTCCTTTTCAGTGACAATCCGATGTTCCGTGTCAATTAAAGTAAATGGTCCACCAATAATCGGTCCCCTGACCGCATTTCCTTCCCTGGTACTACCTTGACCTAATTCAACAGAAGAGATCCTATAAAAGGTCACTTATGTCTTCACAAAACCAGAGCTTTATTTCTAGATCACCAACAAATTTTCAGGTGTCCTATTCTGGTCAGTATACCAAGGTAACAAGCCTCACTATAGAGATTGCACGTGTAAATCCTCAAGTTGATCCTGGATTAATTGGGTGCTGGCTACCCTCAGTTCCAGATCATCACATTACAAGTTTCTTCATGAATATTTAATGCAATTAGTTACTTTCAGAACTTCAGTTTTGAGGCAGGAGAAATGAAGTAAAACATTTAGTTGAATTTAAATGATGCAGGAACGGGAACTTCCACAGGAAGCAGGAGGTGATAAGTAGCAGAAAAAGCTTGAATATACGTGTTCTTTAATTCACTTGAACCAAAACTAAAGCACGAAAAGGTATCCATCCTAAACAGAATGAGCTTATCTGAAAACTGCACCAAGCAAAGCGCACATATGGGGTTTAAGAGAGTTGAATTTCCAGAGTAATATAAGTGAGGTTTTACTTTCGGCATCTGCTCATAATGGACACGTAACCATCAGTAAGTGGGCGCTATAAGCAGTATCCTCAGTAAATTGCTTTGAAGATTCTGGCAATAAAATCCATGGGACAAAAAAATCACTGACTACAGATGTCTAATCATGCTTGACAAATTCATCTTAGGCCTCTTGGTTCATATGTTTCCATCTTTCTCATGCAACTTACTTTGGCATCTCAGAAAAGCACACCCATAAAACTGTTGGCTTATCTCAAAATGAAAGAGAATCGCTCAATGCTCTTAAACCTTAAGTGCTCCGATACAGATATGGTAGGAAAGGAAAGACATGGATGAAAGGAAAGATTATTCCTAAAGGCACAAAAGCGATTCCTCCTATTTCTTCTATTTGAAACCTTTGTAAGATAAAAAAAGAATAAGTCAACAACAAGAGTTACCTTTTAAAGTTGCTCTCCTCTCGTCATTATAACGGACTAGAACTCCAGCCCCGACAACACCTCCAACCATAAGACTAGGCTGCATAAGATTGAAAAGAAGGAAATAAGAATGCATAAAGAAGCACACGCACACTACAAGACTGTGACCAACTAGTGTAGGTGCATAGATATTTACAATATGTTGCACAAGCCAGAAAAGCAAGACAACTATCATCTCACAAAGAAAATGAACTATGGTGACATACGATGAGATAGTTTCGCCAAGGCCGAGAAGCATCTGCTTCTGCAGGAAATACAGGATACACATTTCGATGCCCATTACCATTTCTGGAGGATTTTGAATAATTAAAAGTTTGAACCTTCCTCTGCGGACCAAACCTACAACAGATTCACAAGTGGTCAACAAAGTGAACAAGGCAGGTACTTCTGACCATAAAGCTTTTCCAATGCACATGACTATGGCACTAGCAATTAGATCATCCTAGATGTTACTCATACTTCCATACTTCATATACTCTGCCAAATAAACAAGAATCCACATTACTCAGCTAAAAGATGGAGAAAACATTGCTTCCAATCATCTAATTTTAGACATCAAGCATAGTCGCAAGCTTTTCACAAAAGAACAACCCCAGGAGCCATCCGCCTAATAAAAACCTGAATCGAGCAACCATCTGAACACCAATGAAACTACAGACCAGTACTGACCCACATCTTGCATGCTCAAGATGAATCTTTAAAACCAAAGCAGAGCAAGCATAAACTGAATCACCACTATGAGTCTATGATTCAGCTTCATAAGTTTCACAAAATGCTTCCCACTAGAAAGCCCTGACAGTAACAATTCGCCAGGAAATTTTCATACCAAATAGCTCCCTCCAAATTGAAACACAACCCAACCCATTAAAAGATCCCAACAAGAGTCCCTTCATCGAAATGAAGCTAAACATCAGCAAAATCACAGACGCATAACTCGAGAACGGGAATATCGAGGCGTGAATGAAACTCAGCGAGACAAAAAACCAACTTTGAGATGGAAAATCCGAAGAAGCGAAAACGGGTTCAAGGGGTCCCCACCTCTGGAGCAAATTCGAAGCCTCTCTCAAGCGGTGCTTGGGAGACGGGAGGACGCGACGAAGAAACATCGTCTAGGCGGTGAAAAAGTTTGACATGGGGTCAATCCCGAAATGGGTTTAAAAGACGGACCGATGGGCAACTCTTTGGATTGTTTTCCAAGGATCCACGAAGCATTTGCATTGTTGCCCAAGGCAAATGGTGTCGATCATGCGGGACGCACGAGCAGGGACAGCCGAAGTTCATGTTTCTCTTCTCTGTAAGAATCTCCCAAGCAGAAGATAGGTTCAGCGGTTGAGCCGGGCCGGGCTAGGGTCATTTTTGGGCCGGGTCGGCATTTGGACAGGCTTGATTGGGCCGGGTCGGGGCTTGGACGGGTCTTTCGTTTGAGCCCGGCTACGCCATCGCAGCGCTAAGAACTAAAGGGTGAAACCGAGCCGGGTCGAATCACTCGCTAGTAGGTTTAGGACTCGACACGATAAATACTCGACATCGACACATCCAATCCCAAATCGAGCTCGAACTTGAGCTCGGCTAGTTCAGTAGTCTAATCCAATTTCTATTATGTTCGGTATTCTAGACACGTGAGCATTTTGAGAATGCGTAACGTGTCCACAAACATACATTGATGGAAGGAATGTCTTCGAACTTATTGAACACAAACTCGAGCTTACTTATGGTGAGCGGGTTAACTGGCTGCTGCGTAGCCCCAGCCCGAGTTGCCAACACCCGAAATTTATTTTAGCTTCTTCCTTTTTTTGGGGGTCGGCTTGTTTCGAGGTAATATAACCTTGTAACTTTACAGGCACATTTGATTTTTTCATACATAATCATCGTTTTTTGCAAACTTTCAAAGGTTGAAAGAGGATAATGTTAGCAGTTGATGAACATCTTTATGAAGAACATGATGTCCGTCTAGCTTAACATTGTTTGGCGCCTAGTATACGCCGTTGAGTAGGGTGGCCGGATCTAACTATTAGGGATAGGACTACTGTTTGGATTATGAAAGGTTAGGTATATAGAACGAAGTTAGCTGGAACAAATCATGCACAATTTACCGCACTCGATTTACTCAAAATATTTTTAGTATGATAACAATTAAGAAGGATTTCAAGTAATTATGACAGAAAAGGAGAGAGAATTTGAATAGATTGAATTGTGATAATGTTTACACCAAAGATCAACCAAGTCACTATAATCAGCATGACATCGATTTGAGTAAGCATATCACCCGAGAGCAGGTGAGGTGGCTATCAACGAGAAACTGACTACAGGGTCATTATCGATGGCCATATTGATCACAAGAATTCTTATAACGACAACCATTTAGTTGACAATTGCCTAGTAAAATTGACCAAGTACCGGAAACCAAGTGCCAAAAAAGGTAAAGATATCGATTGAAGGACATCGATTGGCATTTGAATGAAAAATCATTTGAGAACAAACCATATTGTGAGCAAAGTGAACGTGAAGGTTAGGGCACAACATATCGTGATCGTAATTAAAGGATGAATTTGAAGGAATAACGACTTTTCATTTTCTCAAAAAGGAGAAAATGAAAGCAAAAGCTACTGTTTACATCATTCAAAACAGTTTATAGGACGACCATGAAGTAACCAAACAATCCATTTACATCGCATTGCGATAGCTCGAGAACATAAAGATGATTGCACTCGTGCTCCTAACAACTAGGGGTGAGCAACTTGGACGGCCCAAACCGGGACCGGACCGGACCGGACCGGACCGACGAGTTTGGTCCGGTTCTCGGGACTATCGGTCCGGTTCCCGGTTCCTAAAAGCGGAACCGGTTTCCGGGCGGTCCGGTTCCCGGTTCCAAGGGGGAACCGGACCGGACCGGACCGACCGGACCGGACCGACTATTTAATATATATTTTTGTAATTTTTTTCTGTAAAAAAATTAGTAAAATGTGAACTAAACTCTAAGTGAACTTCATTATCATAAATTCATTGATAAAAAATAGTAAAATGTGAATTAAACCCTAAGTGAACTTCATTGACATAAAATAAAAATTAGTAAAATGTGAACCAAACCTTAAGTGTTTGACAAAAAAAAAAATCCTAAACTCTAAGTAACCGGTTCCATTGGACCGGATCGGAACCGGACCGGACTGACCAACCGGTCCGGTCCGCGGTTCCCAAAATTGGGAACCGGTTTTCTCGGTCCGGTTCCCGGTTCCACCTTAGAACCGGACCGGACCGGGAACCGCTCACCCCTACTAACAACACTTGCTCAGCGACTCTCGGCCTTCTCAACCGGCACCGAAAGTAAATGCCAGGTCTTCATCTTGTGAATAGCACCGGCAGGGTCAAGGCTTTTCGGACAGGTCTTGGTGCAATTCCTTTTCGTCCTGCATCTGCACTGTTGGTAGCGCGCAGCAGAAATTCAATACCTTCACCTGGGGAGATCGCCAAATGGGAGCTCAAGTACGAGCTTGTCAACATATCCAGTTGGACCCACCTTCACTAAAAAACTTAAGTCAATGAGTTATGGGCCAACTAGGATATATTAACTGCTCAACACCACATCAATTATCCGATGTGGAACTTATCTAACTTAACTCATACATGTATCTTAACAATCTTCCCCTCACGTGTGAGCTCAATGTTAGGTTTGCTCCCCCTTAATTTAGGTATTATTCTACATCGGTTTATTTGAAGCTGAATCTCCAAGTCATTGCAATGCGCCCGCAACTATGCACAACAACCATCATCAACTGCTAACTTGGGATTGCATCACCCATGGTCTCTATCGCGTCACCAGACCAACTATCCATGGTCATTTTCTTGCCAGACCTTTGATGGCAATTTCCACTCGAAACAAGTGTTGATCATGAGATTTCTTTCTTGAAATATTCACCAAACACCAGAACAGATTGGAGGCCCACCAATCAACCATCGGCTCTGATACCAATTGTTGCAGAAGCCAAGCGGTCGAACGGTAAAATAGACAGAACAAGAAAATAAATCAGACACCAGATTTACGTGGTTTGATCGTAGTGACCTACGTCCACAGGGAGAGCAGCACGGAAATCTACTATAGATCAAGCAATACAACGAAGATTACAACCACATCCGAGTCACTCAAACACTCTAAGTATTTCCCAAGCCCCAATTACACCCAATAAATCACGCAGTGTTTAACCTTAATAATTCCTCACGAAATAATCTCTCAATCTCACGAAAGAATTACACATAAATCTTAACACAAGATTTTCGCTTGAACACTAATTCCTTTTGGATGTAATTCACGAACAAGAATTCACTGAAACACCCACTGCCAAGCACTCACGAACCCGGCGCTTCAAGATTGTGCATGCCGTGTGAGTGCACAGGAAGCGTTGTTACTGTGCACAGTCTTGAAGCGCAGCATTCGTGAGTGCTTGGCAGTGGGTGTTTCAGTGAATTCTTGTTCGTGAATTACATCCAAGAAGAATTTGTGTTCAAGCGAAAATCTTGTGTTAAGATTTATGTGTAATTCTTTCGTGAGATTGAGAGATTATTTCTTGAGGAATTATTAGGGTTAAACACTGCGTGATTTATTGGGTGTAATTAGGGCTTGGGAAATACTTAGAGTGTTTGAGTGACTTGAGTGTGATTGTAATCTCCGTTGTATCGCTTGATCTATAATGGAATTCTGTGCTGCTCTCCCTGTGGACGTTGGTCACTACGATCAAACCACTTAAATCTAGTGTCTGATTTATTTTCTTGTTCTGTCTATTTTACTATTCGATCGCTTGGCTTCCGCAACATGTACAACCTCTTTTGGTCCTCCGTTAGTGCCTAGAGTCGCTCGTCAGCAAATTCGTCACCACTGCCAAAGAAGGGAACGCAACAGATGACCGATATAATCTAGTTCCTGCACTAAAAAAGACCGACAGATACTTTACCACACCAATGAATAACAAAAGGCATTGCTTGATTTATCCTAGCTCCCACATTGGTTAACTTCAAATTCGAGCTCGGTGAAACAAAATGGAACTTTACTTGCTCTTGCTAGTCATAGTTCAAACTTGCCGTAAGAAGCGGTCCATATGCACCCAAACTCATATTGAAGCCTTAAAAACCGAATGAGACGTGCCGGATGCACAACCGGTTTATCGAAAAGGCTACCAGAAAATAGCGATTACCATTTTGGACAAGAAAATATGAAGCCTTGGAACCGAAAGGAGGCTATGGATTACCTATCACATATCCATCTATAAGCGTGGAGAAGCGGGGCTGGTCCCAAGAACTCTTCTGGATTCCACCAATAGGACGAGCATGAACTGCTACTGCACGTACATAATATGCATTCATAAAGCCCGTCCAATCTCTTTCTTTCCGCCAGAGTTTGCCGGTATTCCCATCTCTTTCTTTCCGCCGGAGTTTGCCGGTATTCCCGACCATCTTCAGGCTGATGTCTTGTCTTAAGCCATGGCTCAATTGACCTGTTCAAGGCAAAGAGAAACCTATTCCATCCATTTGCACAAAATTGAAGCCCAAAAGACGGCGGCACATCTTTCCCTTTCCCTTTCCAATTGACATGATTGAACAAGAATACCTTAATCACCACCATATATGTATATAAAGTATAATTGAAAGAATGACCCTTTTGACCAACCTCGACTCTGCGTATTCTAAATTCTGAAAATCCCATATAGTAACATGAATAAATTCGCGACTATATACCACAAATTAGGGAGGTTAATTATTGTGAATGGCTTACTTGTACTGCTGATAGAAGTTGGTGATGTCGACAACGAGGTCCTTGATGACAAAAGTGTGCGGGAGGGGAGTGCTGGTAGTGGGCTTGAAAGTGTCTGCGTCGATGGGCTTAAGACAAGCCACGGTGTTGGTCCCATCGATGTTCATGGCGCACGATCCACATATCCCTTCCCTACATGACCTCCTATAGCTCAGCGTCGAGTCGTACTCGGCTTTTATCTTCTGGAGTGCATCCAACACCTTCACACACCATCAACGTCATCCACTATTATATTGACTTGTTCATCACATGGAATCCGAAGAACATATGCTAAAGTCAATGGAGTGAATCAAATTTATAGAGTAGAAAAATTTTAGTAAGTTCAGTTCAAGAGACAAGGTTGGAGGTAAATCCACCATTGCATGCTAGGCAATGTTATGATAATAACAAAAATTATGATATCTCCCTTCCGTTCGATGATTGTTCCAGATTTTAAATATCACGACGTCTCAATTTGAATAACAATGGGTCCACATCAACCTAACACCCCGATAATGAAGGACGCAGATCATCTGTCCCCCTTCCAAGGGCAAATCTACTATCTCTAACGAAGGGGACGTAGACACCGGTCCAAGTGAAAGCTACAAGAGAGAGCATGTGGCCTTTATTATATTTTTCTTGATCTTATGTTTAAGCTACAAGAATTAAGGAAAATAGACTGAATAGTTAGGGAAACAGTCCGAGTACAAATTCTTCCACTTGCAATTCAGAACGAGGGGACCCCTTCCCCGAAGACCGAGACTGGCCCATGGAAAGGGATAGCTAGCCCGCATCCGTTAATGAAGCGTTATTGAATGCATATGAATATGAAAGAACGATTGGCAGACACGTGTCGGTTTCGGCAGCCCCTTCCACGAGGACGGAGATTAGCCCATGGAAAGGGATAGCTAATCCGCATCCGTTAACTAAGCCCTTATCCAGTGCATATGATCACGAAGGAATGATTTGCATGCACCATTGAGAATCAGTCGGGTGAGTTTCGAGCCGAATGCTCGGGCAACCCCGTGTCGACCTAAAAACAGGAACTTAGACATAAGATTGCATATACATATGATCATGAAGGAATGATTTGCATGCAGCAGTGTGAATCAGTCGGGTTAGTTTCGAGCTGAATGCTCGGGCAACCCCGTGTCGACCCAGAAACAGGAACTTAGACATAAGATTGCAAATGCTCGATCGAATACGATTCTTAAACCACACCCTCCCATAAAAAAGTGAACAAATCTAATAGCCTCAAAGCCCAAGTAGATAACGAGTTCTCTTTTCTGAGGTCCACGAAAGGTGTGACATGCACAGCACTCAGTTCAGATATATATATATATAGATCGACATATGAGGGAGCGAGGGAGAGATGGATAACCATAGGACCACAGTTGGTCAAGTCAAGGAAGTAAGACTGAAGGTAGGGTTTGTGGTGAGGGCGGTCGGGGCTCCACCTGAAGACCTGAAACTCCTTCAACGTCTCTCCCCTCCCCTTCCCGACCATCTCGAACGCCTCCATCGCTTGCTCTGCATGTCGCCGCCCTGCTGGGTGGCCTTCAAGAACTGGGAACTTCTGGGACGTCGGCTGGGCGCCCTTCTTGCCCAGCTCTAATAACCCAGCTGCTCTCTCGTAGGCATAGCGAAACAAGCTCTTCGACATCCCTCTCTCTCGCTCGCTCTCTCTCTCTCGCTCTCTCTGTTGGGTTCCTGATGGATTCTGCAATACAAGTGTGCTGCAGATGATGTGCGTTCTTGCGCGGCGACTGGACAACTGGTTTTTGCATTACCGAAATGTGTTCGGAAGGTACGGGGAAGAAGCAAAATGGACCAAAGCCTGTTAAAAATGGGGAAATCGTATGCAACTTTTGTGTTTCCCGATGCGGCTCGGTGCGAATTCGTTAGCTGCACATGCAGGTTACATCGACAACGTGAAAAAGAGAGAGCCAGTCACATTTTCAACCTTGTGCTATTTTTCATTTGGGGGAACCTAACTTAAGAAAAATTAAAAGTTTTATTGTGTGTCTTTGGTTATCTGCATTATCCGGATTGGCCCGGTCCAACACCTACTCCAGAGATCAATCCGCATAGTATTGATCCCTAATCTTTAATATCAAGGATCAATCCTATTGAGCCTAGGACCGAGGACGGGCCGATTCTAGCGTCAACCGGAACCAATCGATTCTTTTTTTATTCATTTTTGTATTCTTTGAAAGGGCAAGCGCACTCTTTGAAATTTCAAAGTTGCTGAAATTAGAATAAAAATGTGCTTCTGCTTTACTTAACGATCAATAAAATATGGCATTTCTCATTCTTGAATGAGTCTTTAACTCTGCTATAGTTAGAGCTGCTGAAATTACCAAATTCATTTGTGTGAGTTGAATTATGATCCCACAATACCACACGATTATATCCATAAATCTATCATCTTTGTTTCGAGCATGAGAATGGAGATTCTGATATTACATATTCTAACAGGAACCCTAGTTACAAGCTTCATTTTGTTATTGTTTCTTCAAATATTAAGATGTCTATTGGTATACATGTCGAAGTATTAAACATTAACAAAAAGAAATTGTTACCGTGGTTGTCAAAGAAGATGCAAAATGAGTGTGGCCATTCAAGTTAAGATTCCCGGCCTCTATTTTTCTTAGAACCGAGTATGAAGGTACTTACCTTTCAGATGCATATGTTGAATTGTTGGCAAACAATAAACAGCCATCGATAGCCTCAATTCCCTTGTGCAATAAAATGAGAAATTTCTCAGTTGAGAATTGAGATGAAAGAGAGATGGATATAATATTTTGTACATTACCAAAAGAAGAATATGGGACTCCTATGTGTAGGGTGAGATTGCAATTAAACTTAAGTATAATGAATGTAAATTATAATTAATTTAACCCTAAATAGTAATCCTTATATAATATAACATCTCCCCTCAAATTTAAAGTGACTTTAAAGAAATTAACTGTAGATCCAAAAAAAAAATGCCATGTTAAATTTGTCTTGGTGAAAATATCGGTAATTTGGTTAGCAGATGAAGCGGAGATTAGTCGTATAGTGCCATTATGCACATGATACCAAATGAATTGACAATTGAATTCAATGTGCTTGGTACACCAATGGAAAGCATCATTATGTACAATTTGAATAACATTTTAGTTGTCACAATGAATGATCATTCCACTGTTATGATGTAATCCATGTTTTCTAGTAGTCATCGCAACCATAATAACTCTGAGGCCATATTAGCAAGAGCTTGATATCCTGCTTCTATACTAGGACAAGCGTTAATGATATGTTTACGCCATGAGATAAGTGAGCTACGCAGAAAAAAAAATGATAGCTCGTAGCAGAGCGACGATCTTGAGGGTTATCAACCCAGTCAGTATTAGAATAAGCTGCCAACTCCAGCTTGTAATGAGCAGAAATTGAAGGTCATGAAATAATGTGCTTTTGATAGAGTGAAGAATTCGAATGACTGAGCAAAATAAGGGGAAAATTGTCAAAAAGTCCTAAACTATTATACTTTTGCCAATTCAATTCTAACCTTAATTTTAATTGTGCACATGTGATACAGCTTCATGAAAGTCTCATTCGTTAACAATCGCCCAAGCTAGGACTGAGGACTTGGCGTCTCTGCTTTTGGGATCCGTCATTTTCATGGTGAGAATCGAACCTTTTGTGGTTTTTTTTTGCCTCACACTGAGACTGAAATTAAGAAAAATTTAGGAGAAATGAGCGAGAAACTAGAATTGCGCAGGTTAACCCATTGTCGACGTGTTTCCGATGACAATTCTGGCCACTGATGATGGTGGAGACGGCGAGGGAGGAGGTCGAGGTGCTGGGATCGTAATCTCTCTGAAATGGACAAGATGCAAGACATGTCTTCAGATACCAAATAAGGAGAGTGATTAAATATGGTCTTATCGGTTCGGTTCAGGTGTATGACCCAAATATACCATATTTGAACCAAACAGTCAAAATACCCAAATTCCTTAATTACTTGTCACCCTAACCAAATGAGACTCGACCCGAAAAGACCGACACCCTTAATTGTTGGATAGTTGATGAGCATCCTCCACCGTTTGGTGTATGCCTTGTGAAAAATTTCCATCAAACGACCCCGGGACATCTGATTGGTTGGGCCAGTCATTCAAAATCTCACAAATTGCACGCGAATTTGCTTGGAGTGATGGCCACCTACACAAATCAAATGTCCGTATTTAATCAGTTTATGGGCTTACAGAGTGTTCCATCAGCTCCGAGTAGCTAGATCTCCATGCTCATGCCACCGTACAATGAAAAAAAAACTTTTCATCGAACAAAAAGAGCTTATGTAAACGAATCAGATCCGTTAACGCTTTTAATCATTTTTAACGGTTTTTACTAAGAATACCTAAAGCTTTGCGCATAATGAGTTTCCTGAATAATTTTGACTTTTATTCAAAGATTATCCTTGCACACATGACACATGTATGGCCGAATTTCTAAAACTTGCTTGGCTAATCGACACCACTTCTTTCAGAACTATAAATCGTCAAAGAATTAAGGAGACCGTGTACTAAATAGTTACTCATATTCCCATGTATCGATGATACGATTGACGTGATTTATACGAATGTAACATCACTCGCAATGTATATCCTCAAAGAACTTTGCATTGACGTTGGACGGTCTTTAGCTCCGAGTCGAGTGCTCGAGGTAGCTTTCATTCAAATCGCTCTCTATTCCTCTCCCTCACCATTAGATAGGATCATGACCCGATACATTCGCACCAAATTAACATCAATTTCCATCCTTTTCAAGATCGGAGAATTCGTAGTAACCCGTGTTCGGAATTTGTAAGTTGAAAATTTTTCAAAAGAGAAAACGCAACTATATAAACATTTAGATTCTTTTAAACATTTAGTCAATTTCAACCAAACATAAAGTCAATAATGGCATTATAATTTAACCATTCAATGCTTCGAATATTTGGAAATATCACATGATTTCGAGAGGGAAGGGTCGGTCCGAATGCGTACGAACTTAGAACCCCGCGAACGGTCCACAAGTCAAGATTCTCCATCCGCTAGGACCACCGCCCGACCGCTGACTGGTCCTAGTGTGGTCCTCTGATTTTGAGCAATTTTGACCGAAGACTTTGAGCTCTTACCAAAGAGAAGAAGAAGAAAAAAACAAACACAAGTACAATTAGAAGAGGACTCCTATGCAATTTGAAGATTATTATCTAGTCCATTCGTTAATATGGAAAAAAAAAAAAAACCTAGTGACTCAAGAGTATTTGGAGTTGCTTGTACAATCGAATTCTTTCGCACAACAGTAACCCGATGGCGAAAGTGAAGATTGTTTTCGACACTCGCGATGAACATAATGAAATTTACTTAATTTAACAAGTGGTGTTGTTGGATGTATACACTTTCGAGTGCGCGTGTGAGGTAAAAACAAAGAGGCATCCCGTTGTCGATGAGAGTAGAATGAACGGTTGATAATTCCGAATTGATGATTTGACTACCGGTTTCTGGATTGATCACTATTATATCTATTGAACTCACTTCTAACACTTGTTCCGCTTTTCGAAGACTCCGCCTCGATTTTCGATTTGTGAATTAATATATCAATAGAAACAATGGACGATACCGTCGTATTAATATGTTTTGAGGATGAAACAGATATGAAAACGGTTTTGAATTGTTATACATCGCAAGAATACGGATGCATGATCTATTTTTCTGCTTCGAAATTCAAGAATCTCAATTAGTTTACAAGCGTATACGAGACACTCCTGTAAATAAAGTCGAGTTAAGACAATGATAATAAATTGACCCGTTGAGGCCAAGTTATTATAAAGCAAGAGATGACTATCCTCTAGATTATGGTAAAATTTATTGACTCAGAGATTATATCTATTTCATGTACCTTTTTGTGGATTAAAAAGTGAAACTTATTGGTGGGTAACAAACTTGATCAATGAGGGGATCTAGATAGGTCTAGCTTAACACGGGTCTAAAGCGAAATCTATCCCTGATCAAAATTGTCAACAAAATATGAAATCGATCATGCTTGAGTGAACATAAATGGGACGAGCTCGAGAAAGAAATTGCGGGTTCAGACTCGTCCATTCTACCCTTTTGACCGGACGGTCCTTGATCGAGCCCGTGAGCCGTCGGGCCCTCAAGACCTCCGGCGAGTGATGCCGGCGGCGGCTTTGTCGGGAGGCTTCCACGTGTCGAGCTTTCCCTAAGTCTCAGCCGTGGTTGGACTGTTATCTGTTGGAAGAGAAAGGACGGGAGTGGGAGGGATGTCAGCATCACTTTTCAACACATGAGGTCTCTTGTCTCCTCATCAAAGCCCATGTCCAAAGCCAAGAGAGCATAGGGACGTATTGCTCTCCACGTACGTTTCTCATTCTTTATAAAATAATTTACCCAAATCGAATTTCTCGTCAAAATAATGGTTATATCGCACGTTAGCTTTTAAAAAAAAACCCATAGGTAGATATTATTTAAGAAAAATGGCACCAAACAATCTATGAATTTTGACCCAATGTGCAATATGATCCCTAAAATATTAATTTGTTCAATATAGTCCCTGAACTTTAATCCAATGATCAATGTGATCCCTCGATTTTTAATTTGTTCAATATTGTCCATGGACTTTTGGTACATATTTAATGTGGTCTTTGAACTATAAGAAAATATTCAATGTAGTCTCTGAACTTGAATTAATGGAATGTCTATATTAAACATTTTCATATAATTCAGGGACTAAATTGAACATGTACCAAAATTCCAGGGATGACATTGAACAAATTAAA